AGGTGCTGCCCGCCCGCCGCCGCGCTCATTGTTCGGAGACGGACCCCGCGCGCCGTGAGCATGTGGATCCCGACCGAGCACGAGAAATACGGCGTGGGTGAGTGGGGCGGCTGGCGCGGGCGCCCTGCCGGGGGGCAGATCCAGGTGGCGATAAGCAGGCAACCCCTCCCCGATGCTCCCGGGTGGGAGCACGCCTGTCCGAGGAGTTTGCTAGCGGACGCTGCTGGTTCATGTGCAGGTGGGGAGGGAGGCAGGGAATAGATCCCTGTTCTCATACCCATCTCCCCCCTCCGTTGCAGTGAATAGCATCAGGGATTTAAAATAGTGTGTGTTTGGGGCGGGGGTTATGGAACAAAAACAGCTGGAAAGCGTATGTCTGTCAATAGCCCGATCGCTTCTGAACAGAGTCTGGGAGGATTAAATAGCATCTTAGTGCCCCGCTTCCCACCAGCCTTGGCACCGACGGGAGGAGAAGGGGAGAGAGAACCACGCAATTGTTTAAAAATGGGTATTCGGCTTAACGTGCACGTTCAGTTTAAGCTACTGCCATCTTTCGAGACAGGCATCAGTCCGCTGTTGCGTGTGTTTTTGTGTCTGTGGTGGTGTTTAATCGGGACAGTAGCTTACTTCCTCTGCTAACGTTTTGTTTGGCTGTGAAATGGAGTTTATAAAGGTCCGGATTGCACAAAGGCAGGAAAATGTGTGTTTCAGCATTTGAAGTTCAAGGTACTGTTTGTGAGGGGGAAGAGACAGAGTAGCATCTTCCTATTTGAAAGGTGAACAACAAAGGACGTTAGATATTTGCCTGATGAATCTGGGTTTTTTCTTCTTTTTTCCCTTGGCCCTAGTTACGGAATATGGAACCCCTCCCTCCCCCCCTCCCCCCCCGCACCCATCTCTTAGTTGCATATTTGACACTGATATTTTCTTATTTCAACAATTGAATTCAGCCAGATCCTGCTGATACTTTTTTAGAAGGGCTAAGGTTTCCTGCCAGCATATATAAATAGCCTAAACAAAACAAATTTGAAATCCTAGCAATTTGGTTGGGAAATAACCCACAATTGTATCTATAACACTTTTTTTTATAAAAAAGAAGCTTACAATATAAATGTTGAAAAAATGTGGCTTACTTTCATATGCTGTGTGTGTTTTGGGGTTTGTGTGTGTGTGTTTAGTAAGAACACAAAGTGTCATTTGTGGAAGTCATTTTCACTCTGTTATTATTTGTTCAGCTCCGCCTGAGGGCAGAACTCTGGAGTCCATTAAACTGACTTATGAAGCGATTAAAGAGACTCATTGTAGTTTTTGACACCACCTATTAAAACCAGGAATACTTGATCGGCTTTGGTGACTCGTCCTGGACAATAGCTACTGTTTCATACTAATGTAGTTGAATTGCTTTGCAGATCATTGGTATTGCAATAAGTTGCTTGTATATTCAGGTTATATTTGTACATTGAGTTGTGTATGTTATGGAAAATCCACGAGGAATGTAAAGACTTTGTCTTTGTGTGTCCCTGTGTCTGTGTAATCTCGCTCGGTTTAACAATTAGTACAGAAGCCAAGACTCATTCAGTGTGACTATGTCCCATTTGGAGTTGATCCCAGATGTTGCTGTCTTCCAAATGTTAAATTATAGAGATCATCAATGGGATTTATTTTCTTGACTTCTTTATGTGCCAGGTCACAGCTGGGTTGCTAGATATCGATTAGTCTTCCCGCCCGCTTTCTTTATGAGGATGGGCAGAAGCTTAAAATCCACTCTGGGATTTCCTGGAATGGCATGCAGGATATTACCAGTCAAGTATTTCAAGCTGCAGCACTCCCCTCATTTTTTGTTGTTAGGCTTCAGCTGTGCCATATACTGCTTCACCCATCTTCCTTTTTTGTTCTTTACTAATTTTTTATTGTAATCTGTTTTTTACCTATCCCCCACCAATTAAATCAGAACATAATCAATTCCCCCATTATTTGAATAATTAGTATGTGAATATTGAATAGTATCCTTTGGTAAAAAATTTTTGTGCTAGTAAGTTTTGCTTGAGTACTTAACCATAAATTATTCTTTGTCACCAAGAACATCCCTCTAGCTGTGAATGCTAGTGTTTACACAGATTACAAAAATACTTCTCTGGCAGGCATTAGATTTCTGTAATGTCCCTCTCCCCTGATTATTCAGGGGAAAAAATCAAGATCTCCAATCTCCCTTTGCTGGTGACTTATATGTTATAACCCATTCTATATTTCTTTTTCATTTGCATCTTAAAGGCCATCGAAAATACCCCTCATTCAGTGGCAGTAACACTGTTTGTTCATCATGATTACAAACAACTGAAATATTAACCCCAAACCCATTTCACTTGCTTTAAGAACAATATTTTACAACATATATTATGTAGCCTTTTCTTTGTAAGAATGTCACTCTGAGACAAGTTTTGTACATAATAAACTGCAGTTGCGTCTTA